CTACGCCCGCTTAGCCCCTACGGGGCCCTATCTGCAACAAGGTCGGCCGCCCTAAGTGAAGGCAGGCACGACAGGCCCTTCGGGCCTCATTCTTCGGGGTACCCCGCAACGGGGAAATTCAGACAGTTGCATTGCGCCAGTTGGTTGAATGAATCCAGGCCCTGGGCCGCCTGTGTAAATGAATGTGAAGCAGGCCCTGGGCTGGATATGGGTACCAGGCCAAACACAGGCCGAAAGCAGTTGGGCGCATACCACTTCAGGCCCAAGGCCTGCTCTCTTCGTGACTGGGCCTGTGCCTACCGGGGCGTACCGGAAGCTTCCTCTGCGTGGATCGGGGTTGTGAGTGTTACGAGAGACATACCTGGTGCTGAAGCGTGCGACATTGGTCGCCATATGCTCGTACWYCGGGAACGCTGTTGATGTCATCATTCTGCTTCGTAGTATAGGCTAGATAGGATCTGCCACCTGTAGTCTGGGCGCCGAGCGCCAATAGGATATCAACTCTGGTTCGTAGTTGATGATGATGGGACTACTTCAGCATTGTCAATTTTGAACTCTTGGTGTGTTCTTATTTGGTGTATCTCGTGATGCCAGTCTGCTGTGGTTCGAGGTCAAGACTATCTAGGCTCATATGTATGATGCTGTTTGATTGCTGAAGTTCGCTAATGCTCATCTTCCTTGCAATTTGGTATCGGAGCTGTGGTACGATTGCGCTCATCTGGCGCTTGTCTTTTGCCTTATACGGTACATACATGYGGTCTGCTGGGAGAGTTTGGCCGTAAGTGGTGTGTAGTGAGGAGGGTGGAGACGAGTGTGAAGGCGACCCAGGTGGTGAGGGGCATCGCCTGGAAGGATAAGGTGTGAATATTGGGTGTTCGCAGTGTGATGAGAACTATCTGTTGGGTGATTGAGGCTGAGGTGGAACGGCGAAATGCTGGTTGTGCCGATGCTGTGACTGGTCATCGCAATCATCTTCAGGTCATCTGGTGAGATTATCTCTGTGGTTGGGGGCAGCATGAACGAGGTACGTTGCTCTTAACCTTATCTACCCTCTTCATCACTTCTTACTGTGAGGTTGTGAGTTTTGTCTTGAGAGTCCTCTCATCGTGAGGTGTCGTGTGCGCTCAACCTTGAGAGTCGTGATTGTTCACGTGGAGCATCTGGGGGAAGACGGGCGGAGCTTCTTGAAGGGCCCTGGACAAAGCACTGGGTCACGGTTACCATGCCAACCCACTGGGTGTAGTACACGCATGCTTCGCTGCAAGTCGTTGGTTCTGCTGCTTGCGCATGATAGGGGTTAACTCGAGTGTGGCAGCCTCTACAGACGCTTACCAGACCGTCTATAAACATTTCTGGCTGGGGACTCGGCTCTGATCTTGCTGTGATCGTCGTCCTGCTGCGACGTAAAATAATTCCTGATGTCACTTGGGGGCGGACGTTAAATTGCCTCTTGATCAGCCAGATCATCCGAGTGGAAGGCTCGTCGGCGTACGAGGGTAAATAAGAGTGTTGTGGCTGCCTTGCTCGACGATAACCCGGGGCACAGGGATGGGACCGGATTGCACACCTTTGAGACACGCTTGGCTTCTGATGCAAAGAAACGTGACATTGGGAAGAACAAAGGGAGGGGTAGATTTCAGATGATAAGTTCGGGTTTAAATTCCAAACTATGAACAGACCCGGTCAGTCAACATTATTTTTATTATTGATTAGTTAGATGGACAGCCATGTGACATCTGACAGACAGCACTAGTTTAGAATATTATCTATTCCTGATGTTCTCTCTGTTTGGGAACTAATCTTGCTAAAAATAGTATTGACAATAGGAACCTCACTTACCTGTTGACCCCAAATGAGATCTGTTCTGATAGCCACCACTAATTAGTTGGTCTGTGTACTATGCTGCGGTAGGCATCTAGAATGATCTAGTGTGGACAGTGCACAGTGCTGTAGCCTATGAGCGACGTGGAGGACACCGGAGAGGACGACCGCAGGACTTTACGATCGGCTAGAGGACCGGTATCCCATGTGTCTTTAGGACCGGAGGGTGATAGGGAACTGTTCCGCCGACAAAGGGAAAGGAGAGCTAGAGCAGCCGAGGCTAGTAGGGCATTTGCTTGCGAGGCCAGTTCTATAGCAGCCATGGCTACCACAGCCATGAGCATGTCTGCGCAGCAGACTTCCCAAGCCGGAAGTTCAGGTACCGTCGGGTCCACGGTCGTGCAGACCGTGAGTCAGTCCACTGGCTTAATGGCAAGCCAGCCCGCGGTGTTGTCCCCAGAGGATGTCGCCATCCAGCAGGCATCCCTGCAAGAGGCACAGCTACAGCAGGCATTAGGAAAGATAAAAAGGGAGAAAGAGATGATGATTAGAAGAAGAGCCAGGATGCAACAGAGAGGGGCAGACATAGAGGAGTTAGAGACGATGGACCTGACGCATATGGATGATGATGTGAAGGTAGTTAGGAGGGCCCTGGTAGGCGTAATTGAGATGCAGGAGCATCAAACTACCCTTCTTCAGGACATTCAACAAAGCCTAGTCGTGTTGGCAGGCCGTGCTCAGGCAGCACCATCACCAGCAGGGCCTGGTGCCTGGCCCGTGCCATATCCTCGTCTTTCTGTTCCACCGGTGACTGGGGTATCCCCATATGTAGCCCCTTCATCGGTTGCTATCGTTTCCCTGGGCATGCCTTTGTCAGGAGGGGTAACAACAGGGAGTAGTTTGCAGGTTCCTGTTCAGACAGTGTTTACTCCAAGTCCGTCACAGGTTGCAGTCACCACGCAGCCTGCTGTCTCACAGTCAGTGCAACCTCAGGGCACACAACCCCAGCAGCTAGCACAACCTGTATCGCCGGGTCCACAGCCCGGGTTGGTGAAGGGACCGAGACAAAGTCAGTGGGTTCCAAAGACAGCCATCGGCGCTCCCAAACCCTTTAGAGGGGACAAGAGAGGCGAAGATCTCGACACATGGTTCAGGGCAGTGCCGGTCTATGTCAGGTGTAAACTCACCTTGCCACACGAAGAAGTGCTTGTGGCTGCTTCCTACCTGGAGGGTAGTGCAGCGAGATGGTTGAGTGGGTTAGTGCAACTCCAGGGGTACGGTCATGACTTCCACTCTTGGGCATCCTCTCAAAAATTGGAGGACTTCCTGAAAATGGTGGAAGACAGGTGGCATGATCCGCAGGAGGCTCAAAAGGGCACTGATGCGATCCTGACACTGCACACTCGGCAGTTTAAGTCAGTAAGGGATGCCACCGACGTTGTAGAGCGTTTGATTTGTGTTCCAGGGGTACGCTATGACCCCCAGGTCCTGCTAACTTCGTACTTGAGGACCTTRTCTCTGCCGCTCAGGAAYCAGTTGGYRAAAGAGGCCAACATTAATATGCACAACTTTCCTTCGTTCAGCAAGGTGGCCCTAGACCTAGAAGCAAAGATAGGGCATGGACAGGCACCCACTACGCAAGGGAGAAAGAAGACATTGCCTCCCAACTGGAAGGCGAAGGGTCGCTTAATGTTTGTCGACAATGATGGTTCAACCATCGAGTTGGACGGCAACCTCCAGGAGGGAGTAGGTGCAGAGGCAAGTGGCGATACTTCAGAGGGTGGAGTAGTCGCCGCCGTAACYCAACAAAAAGGTAAAGGGACCGGTAGACGCCCTAGGGGATCCCGGTCGAAGAGTCAAACAGACCCCAATGCTCCTCCATGGGAGAAGCGGGTCTAGTTGAGGACGTGTGGAGAGATCGGTGGGCACGGCAAGCTTGTATCAAGTGTGGCCAATATGGTCATAGCATGAACAAGTGTCGCACCGAGAAGATCCCGCCCACTATGGGGTCGGTAGTAGGATCCTCTCAAACCGTTGGTAGCAACGTTGCTAGTTCTTCAGGCAATGCTCCGGGAAACACGTCGGGCCAGTAGGGATAGTAGTTGTTCCTACTAGGGTCGCGATGGTGGATTCACCCCCACCTTCGCGAGAGATGGCCCAAGCTACAGACTCTTCAGTCGTCCCGCAAACACATTCAGACCCATCGACCCTCTATTCGATGAATGTGTTTGAATCCTTAGAGGAGCTAGAGCATGAGTGGTCTAGATCAGATCCACTAGCTTCTTGGACGGCGTTAGTTAAAGCCCCTAAGAGTGAAATGTTTGTCAGCGAGGTAGTCATAGGAGGCCGTAAGGCCGGGGCCTATTACGACACTTGCTCGACTAGGAACTTTATTAGCCGCGCGTGCGTTGAGAGGTTGCGCTTACAGGGGCAAGTGCAGCGCCT